GAATTCAGCAGTTTTTTTAAAATCTGATTATGGGTTACAACAGAGCCTATAGAAGGCCAATAGATTTAGTTATTACATAGTGTTGCATATTTTAGTTTTTATCTAGGACAGCTTTCTGCATCTAGAATGAGTTCTTTATTTACTATTTTTTCAAGTCTGCAATAATGAGAGGTTATATGGATATTTGAGGAGAAGTCACTCGAGGCTTCCGCCATTCTACAACAAGGGCATTACTACAGAAAAAAGATTTTTTGGTAACGCCCAGGAAAAATCCTTGGATTCGCAATGTGCATGACAAGGATTAAAACAACCAAGTTTGAAGATTTTTTGCAATCTCTTTGGCTTATGATGGCTATTGTCAGTAATTATTGGAAAAAATGGACGAAGAAATCGTTGATATCCTTATGATCCAAGCATTTAACTGCGCACTTTGCACCTTAATTGACGCTCTACTGCTAATACATTAGTTCGTAAAGTTATTAGTTTTGCTGAAATATAATTTTGGTTAAGTTTTTCGTTTTGTAAATAATTGGACCACTGTTTTTTAAAGTGCTTGGAATCATTGGGAAGAGCTTATGGTCACATAATTATGGTGTAAGAAGATGTTTTTGGTGACTAATTGGCTACAGAAAGCAGATTACTTCTTGTTTCTATTTGCGAAAAGTGGCCAAGAAATGGGCTAAATGTCGGTTAGCACCTAGTAAAGCATTACACTTAGGAACTTGATGCTCTGGGTTATGTGAGAGACATCTCATGAAAATCTCATAAAAATTTAGGATATAAAATAATTTTAACGCAGGATTTAAAAAAAAATTAGATCAGATTGTAGGAAGTTTACAAACGTAATTTTAGTGAAAGGTTTTATTTTATGCTGCCAAATAGCAAAGGCTGAAGTTTTTTTTGAACATTTGTAGTTATCACCGTGCCTTTTAGTAGAGGAAGAAACTGGGAAAATCAGTACGTTTAACTAAAAAATAAAGCTCTGATTTCAAAACATGGGGCGGTAGAAGATTGGTATAAGTGACTCAAAACTTCTTCTGCATTCATCAGTCTGCTCAAATTCTATGATAATTTCTATTTACATGAAAAGCCAAAATTTCTTTTTATCCGACCATACATTTGCCCAACATATAGATATACCTGATCATGCGCTGCATATAAAAGTTAAACCTCTTATTTGAGGTTGTCTTACGATCTGTTTCTATGTCGTATCTTACTGCTCTTATCTTACCAAACCCCCTGAT